GGGCGGGCGCCAGTTCGTTCTGACAAAGCCTTCCTGTCTTACGTCTTAGGTGTTGATTTTAAAGTGAAGAAAATGGTGGTAGACGGCCGTGCAGTACAGCTTGCAATATGGGTAGGTTTTGTTCTCGACAGATGTGAAAACTTAAAGAGCTGCTTCTTGTGGGGTTTCTTCCTCTTCCTTTTCCTCCCCTTGCTAAAGTCTTCTGCAGGTCGAGATCGTGTACTTAGGATGCACATGCACGTAGGAGCGTCTGTCATGATCGTATAACAGTAGTTGCAGACAGGGTTCTTTTAAAACACTGATAAATGCTTCGCTGCTATAGGTTTGGGACTTCCTTCAGTTCTGGTAGAGCTTTTGACTACTTTTTTCCTACACTTATACAACTCGGTTCCTCAAACCCTTTGGCAAGTGTCTTCCTAATTAGGAAGAAATTGTTTATCTTGTGTAGTTTAAAATGCATTTTTTGCTCTAAATATATTTGACTGTGTGTGTGTGTTTTATTGTTGTGGTATTTTTTTGTTGTGTTTTTTTTTTTTTTCTCTTTTTCCCTCTGTAGGACACAGCAGGACAGGAGCGCTTTAGAACACTGACTCCCAGTTATTACCGAGGAGCTCAAGGGGTTGTTTTAGGTAGGAGGTATATGGAAGAAAAACATGATTACAAAAGTGTGGTCTTTATTGCTGCCTAAATGTGCCTGTCTTTACAAAAGGAGGTTGTCTGAGAGAATCGGAGGGATGATTACGGTTTTTACAACATTACTGCATCATTAGGTCAAATACAGTATGCAAAACCACAGGCAGGAAATAATGCTGCTTTTCTGTATTTTTGATTTAAAATATTTTGATGTCATATTGCACGTTCTTGAGCAGATGAATTATTAGCTTTGTCACAGTTACTTTGGCGAGTTTCTGGTAATAGGACAAATTGAGTTTTGTGTTGGTTCCCCTCCCATTATGTTTTTACTTTTTATTTTTCCCCTAGAAACTCTTGATGTGATTACTGTAAGACATGAGGTTTGCTGCACAAGTAATGGATGGCTAGTCTCTTTCTGCGTGACACCACCAATTAGAAAAAGAAGGGGTTCTTATTCCGGGGGATTAAAACAAGGCTGAACACATTGCCATACAAAATATTCTTTCCAACTATGACGCAGCTTTTTAAACCTTAGTGATTAAATGAATGCAAATGCAGTTATGAAGTTACCAGTGACCAAAAGTCACTCTTTACTCAGAATCCGTGTTTTTAGCAGCAGTGCATGCATGTAGTTATATATTAAATGAGGTGACAGAATACCTATTTTAAAATATTCTGTGTGGCCCAATTCAGAACCAGTAACGGATGTAAGATTTCAGCTGGTAAGTCTGATTTCCAGTCACAGATCTATTGCAGAGCAGCTTGTGCTCTGTAATCCCTAGCAACTTTGGGTGCACACAGCCAATGTGTTTCAGCTCTGGAAAGAGGATATGGTTGATGTATCTTTCTGTTATTTCCTAATACTGCTCTTTTTCAGGGCAGTAGTTAGCTAGTAGGGACTAAGCTCTGCTGTAACAAAGTAAACCTTGTTCAAGACTCTACAGCTGTTAAACTCCTTTTCCTCTGTTACCAGTGTATGATGTTACAAGAAAAGACACTTTCGCAGGACTAGAGAGCTGGCTGAATGAACTGGAAATATATACCACCAAAAGCAACACTGTGAAGATGTTAGTTGGCAATAAAACTGATAAGGTCAGTTTAGAAATGCATCCTCTTACCCTCTTTCACAGATTACTCAGTCATGATAGGGTATAAATGTGAGATGAGTGTTGAAACTAACACATCTGTTGTGTGAGGAGGTCATATGCTCTGTAACTGAGGAACCTAGGTTGGGCCAGGCTCCACTTACCACCTCACTTTAGAAGCAGATTTTGTTAAAGATTTTAATGGAAACTGTTCTGGAGAGATGCAATTGATGAGGGAGGTTCTCTTAAGATAATGAGAGGTTCTGCCTAAAAACTGATACGTAACATTGAAGTTAACTGCAGCACAACTGCTTCTTTCTTTTTGACCAGACTGTTTTGAACAGGTGGTTGGGAAGGAGATTTCAGCTCTTCAGATGGCTATAGAGTATGCATCTATGTGGGTGTGGTGCACCAGTTGCTATACATTTCTGGGGTGTTTTGATGTATCTTGGATGCCTGTTGCGTAGTGAGATGGTTCATTCTTGCTTTACTACAAGTGGTTTCCAGTGTGGCTATCCTGAACTAGATTCTCTTCTGTTCCTTTCCAAATCTGTCAATTTTAGATCCTTTGATATGCCCTTTGATATGCCCTTCTAGCTATTTGACTACTGAAACCTCCTTTCTGGCATTTGCTCCTAGTTGATTCAGAAGATAGCAACACACTCATTTCCTACCGATTTGATGTTGGTACTGTTCAATTTGACCTGCTAACAGCCTGCCTAGCAGTAAGCTCTCTGTAGAGTGGGAAAATCCAGTTGCAAATTACTACATAGTTTTATAGAATTTTTTTCTTTTCAGCAAAACTTCTCTTCTGCAGTGGTGCTTTTCCAGGAGCTTCCTGAAAGTGGCAAGTGTAGCTTATTTTAGTCATGTTCTTCATTCGTCTCTGCAGCCTGATCGTGAAGTAGAGAGAAGAGAAGGGCTCCAGTTTGCTAGGAAACGCTCACTGCTTTTTATAGGTATGTAACTCTGTGCCAAAAGTTTTGTATTCATGTGTTTATTTTGGTATTGCTAAGCATGAATGAAGTGTACAGTGGTATTTCAGGTTGATAGGTTGATTTACGTTGGGGTTTTTTTAGTAATTAATATGGGTTCCATTTGCTGCATTCGTTCATGTGCATGGATATAGGTTTTAACGTTTTTCAGAAATGCTCTGCGTTGACTGTAATTGGAAGTACTTTGCTCTGAAAGAGATTTACTTCAAATACTGTGTAGGCATGATTTTTATATTCTCTTGGAACTGGCAAGATTTTTTTAATTCAGAGCCCAAAGGACCGGATTTTTTCTCCTGACTGATGTCAGCTTGGTAGTAGACTACCTTGGGTAGTCTCTTTTTTGTTTCCAGGTTTCTGTTGCAGCTAAGTAAAAGACAGTATTCTTAGACCAGCAATAAAATGTACAATGTGAAGATATAAAGATGGGGAACAAACTCTATATAAAAAAAAAAAAAAAAGAAATGAAATAAATTTTAGGTGAAGCTTCTTGAAAAGATTTCCAGAAGGAACTGGAACAAATGCATAGGGGAAAAACACGTAATTCCCTCTGCATTGTTTGTTTCCCAGCTTAGTTATGGAGTAATTGCAGATTTATTATTGCAACCTGAGAACAATTTCTGTTTCTCCATTACAGAGAGAATGAGGAGCTGTGGAAGTTTTTAGGTGGAAAAATTAGATGCTTCAGACTGGGGTGCATTTCTGTTTATCATATTCTACTTGTGTGTTTCTTTAAGGGAGAACAGAGAGCAGGCTTGATCATTAAAAAAATTTATCTTCTTTTTGGTACCAAAAGAACTTACAAAGTGAAATACTCCTTGCAAATAAGATAAAGTACTTCCCTGTGTCCCCCCCCCCTTTCTTTCTTCTCTGCCAGAGACCAGTGCCAAGACCCAGGATGGAGTGCAATGTGCCTTTGAAGAACTAGTCATAAAGATCCTGCAGACACCAGGTCTTTGGAATAAAAGCACAGAGAAGCACGGAGTCCAGCTAAACGAATCTTCACAGCAGGATAAAAGCTTATGTGGTGCATACTGTCCACTTTCTTAAATCTACAGGTGGCTGTTCTGTCTGAATGGAGCAGACTTTTTTTGACTCGCCACCAGTTGCGTAGATCCAAAAAACAAACCGATTAGCAAAATACATTTTTGTTCATAAACAAAATACAGTTTCTCCTTCCGTTATGCACAACTTGTATCTCCAGATGTTTTTCTGGTAACTGTCATTTTCACTATTAAATCACAGTGCTTTGTACAGTATTGTGCTTTTGCTGTATGGCATTCAACATGGACTTTTTTGGAAATTCCTGTCTTAGCATAAAATAAGGTAGTACTCCATTCTGGAGTATTATCAAAAAGCTCTTCCCCAGAATGGCATGGGAGTCTTTCAGGTGCCCAAGTTCTCTTAAATGTAGTTAACAGTTGGGAGTCACCCTAAGCAGTGACATTGTTTTCCTATTTCAGATGGTTTTAAGCATTAATTTAGTTGAAATTGCTACATGACCCCAGATAGTAAGTTGTTACTTCTTAATTTTAGGATTGTAGTAAAGAGATGTATCTATTAACATTCAGAAGGAAAAAACCCACACAATTCCTGTGCAGTACACTGTAGCTTACCCCTTGCTGCTCTTAAATACTTTTTACCGAGGATCAGTGGTGAGATGGAGTCATTTTGGACTAGTTCAGACTGTGGATCCTTTCTGCAGTTAATGCGGCGCTCCAAACCCATGTTCCTGTTCTTATTCAGCAATTGCAGGGCTAAAACTAAGTTTAATGTAAAGTGTGCTGATTATGGAAGACTACTAGGATGAGTCTGTCTATTGCCAATCTCATTATGAAGTTATGTCAGATAACTGCCTCTTTTTACCTTTCCCCTCCAATAAACTCACAGCCTTTTCTTAAAAATGAACTGAGTCATGGAAGATGTTAGCCTAGACTCTGCTTTGTAGCATGTCTAGAAGACTTCTGGTTAGCTGACTGCAACGCTAAAAGTATCACATTTGGGGACAATATTGAAAGCATTTAAAATGTAAAGTGAAGTGCTTGTAAACAAGTGACAAATCCAAAGACAGTCTTCCATTACAGGACACGGTCAAGTCAGAAAAGAAAAACTGCCCTTTTTTTAAGATGCATTGATGATTCATTGCTATCAAGTTAATTTATATTAGAGGGAGGCCCTTCCTGAGTACTACCAGTGATTTGTCATGACTGCTACAAGATCCCTTATCTTCTCACAAGAGAATTGGGTATACTGTTTTAAGGCAGGTTTCACTTCATAAAAACAATGTACACGTCATAAGAAGCTGGGTTAGAGGTATCAGGGTTCTAATCTGTGTGCATCTCATAGTCATATTGAAGATACATATTTTATAGTAAAATGTCATCTTAATCCTATTGCAAATTTGATTAGAGTCTTCAAAACCATCTGAATGTATATTTGAGCTCACTGACTGAAGCATGCCCTGGATCTACTGTACACAACTTAACTCATTTTTAGAAAAGGAAGCAGTTTCAGATACAGCCAGTATATGGAAGACTACCTGAAAACTGTTAAGATGTTACCTAAGGCTCATCCTTCAATGCTACAAACCATAAAAAGAAACATGAAAAACTACATAAATTTTAGGTGCGAGCAAGATGGGGAAAGGGATGGAGGGGGAGGAGTTCCTGTTTGCTTAAGTACTTTAACTTAGAGCTTTTGGTGCTATTTACAAAGCAGGACTTTGAATTAGTAAATTTGCATGCTGATTTTCTTTAGAATCTCTTCTCACCTTTTTTCTTTCTAATGGCAGAAGCACATACCAGGCATGGCTAATGCAGCAGGGACTCAGTATCTTGTCAGAATTGGAATCTTGGCCTGTTAACAACCACCCATCTGCATGTACCCTCTTCTAGGATTTTAGAATAAATAGGAGCATTGTGTTCTTTTTTCCCCCTACAGCTGAAGCTTATCTTGGGTACCTGCAAACTTTAGCATACAATACACAACCTCTCACCATCCTTTACTTTGAACATAAAAAAACCCCTGACAGTATCCCAAGTTAGTATCTGTGACTGTACATCAATCCAGAGTATCTGCATACACTTAAAAAAAAGATTATTTAACTCATACTGAGTATTGCAGTTCACTTTAATAGCAATATTATATCTTAACACCTTAGGTTTTCAGTTATTAACTTCAGGTGTACATCTATGTCATTTGCCTTGTATCTCAATGCGTATTTCTACTATCAGACTATGTTAGATCATAAGGCATACAAATTAATTTATTTACTGCTAGTCATTTGGAATAGTCTAAGATGTTAGATACCAAGCCTTGCTTTAAGTGAATTCTGACCCTTAGTATCTTACCTAGTTTTATTCGAATTAAATATGTATCCTCTAAACATGTTTATGTCTTGCAGACTCTAAATACCTCATTGTAATCTGCAATACAGATTATGGTGAGATCAATCTGCCCACTTCGTATTTTCATCAAATGACTTAGTTTGAAATGCTGTTACTTAAATAGTTTTTAAACTGTTGCACCCAGTTTTTCATAGGATGAAGGTACATCTATCACAAAATTTACTTGGCGATGTGTCTCTCATAAGCCATGTTACTTTTGGTGGCTGTGCTGTGACACACAGCCTAAAGGCATTGAAAGTTGTCAGGGTACACATTTAGAGAAGACAGGTACAGGTGACTGTCTACACAACTTTTTGGGCTAATGTAAATTCAGTGACACTGGTATATAAGAAATGTGCTTTTAATATGCAATGTTGTTAGTTTTGCTAAATGCAGTGGAACAAGACTAACATCATACTGTTAAGATGCCAGGAAGCAGACTAGTGCCCCAAAAGGGCTTGTTAAAGGGTATAGTACACAGAAAAGGTTAGACCTCAGCAGAAAGTAGAAAACAGGAACCAGTTTCAGCTAACATGCACCTGTACAATATTCATAATTTAAAAAAAAAAAAAAAAGCATAGGTGCTTCCAGAATCATGTCTCTGCATTTTCTTATTAATACCCATCTAAAAATCCTGCATATTCAAGTCTCTTGACAAGTCCTCTAACAGTTAAGATTTCTTCTTCAGGACTTGATGTAGCCAATTAGATGCTCTGGAAGCCTTTACCTGATTTGGAACAAAGGCAGTCATAAATGCTTGAAGGATGATTTGGACCTGTAGCTCAGCTACGTAGTACTTCAGCCTCCTTTTAGCACCCTTTTCAGAGCTGCTATATTGGTGTCAAGGTGGTATCCTGACAGGTGACGTGCAAAGATGTCTTGTAGAAAATAAGTTTCTTAAAAGTCCTATTTTAAATCATATGCAGTTATTTTCATGTAGACTAAAAAAGTGTTTCCTGTTTATGAGCTGGCTAGTCATGCAGGTGTATTCACAGGTTGTTTATCATTTGTCCTGTAGCTGTAGAAAGAGACTGGGAAAGTGGGCATAAGCTATGGATGAGCAGACGAATACCTGTGTAAGACAACTTGGAGACACTGGGAAATGTGGAATAGACAAAAAAAAAAAAAAATCCCCATCTCTCAGCTACTAAAACATCTGCAACTTTTATAACTGTCCTAGTTTTAGTGTCTAGTTGGAAAGGATTTGTAACTAGTGATCCTGAATGAAGGGAAACGCGTTTTGCTGGCCTGTCAGCCAGTTGAACTTTTGAGTAACTGGCTGACAGGGTGTAAGCACCCTCCAAAGGCCATCACTCCCATCTAGCTGAAGTAGCTTGTTCTGTAGGCAGACTGGCTTCTGAAAAGTACCTTGTTCAGGTGCCTTAACTCTAGCCACAGAATTTGTGGCCAAAGGATGAAAGTTCCAGCTGATTAGTGTCCTAGCACTAGTTAAATGCTTCGGGAATGTGGGACCCTTTGTGAAATGACAGCTGCCATTCCAGATTTTGATTCAGGAAGGCAGCTTCTGATGTTCTTTAGTTTTTCCTCATACAGTCTTTATGTATTACCTTCTAGATAGACCAGCAGTTTTGAAGTGAATTTAACATACTTTCCTTTTCTAATTCATATATTTACAAGACATTTTTAGACAATCTTTTCCTTAAACAGATGAAAACAAGCTATGACCTAACCCAGTTGACTGGCACCCAAAATGCATCCTTGTTTAGTTTCTCTAACATAGTTTTCAGCTGATTACAGGCACTCTGGAGATCTTCTTTCACCAGTACAGTGTCAATTAAATGGCCATACTGCTCTTCAATGAATGCTGCTGAATTAATAATTTCCTGCTGTTCTTCATCCTGCTGATCAACATGAGAAGATGGTTTGAAATTTACAGTATGCCTTTTTACTTACTAGCATTTTAAAGTATATTAGTACAGTAACTCAAGAGCTGCCACCATTAGGGCAGCTAAGGTGCAACTGAGATCAAGGAACAGTATGCTACTGCTGGAATTTGGTATGCTGTTTCAAAAAGGCAAGAGCTGCTAGGGAAGGGGGAAAAACATTTTACAGGAGGGATGTAAGACGGTGACACTGCATTTTATGAAGTTAATGTCACTGCCTAACCTAACACCTGGAAATCATACTCCTGAAAAGTTGAAAGGGAATGCTGGACCCACTGTCCCCAAGTTGGATAATTTTAAGGACTTACTTACATGAAAACTTACCAAGTGAACTAAGTTCTGTTCTGTATAAATTCAAGTTCAGGTTACCCAAAGTAATGACATTATGCACTCAGTATTTGTGTTCACATTTACACATCACCAATTTGCAGTTGGTCTAGGTTTGGTTCTTACAAGACGTCCACATGCTGCATTTTGTGTGTACCTGACTAACAGCATGGGTGGATATCAATCTGGAGGTGTCAGGAATAGGTGGCTACCCTTACCATTTGATGGCCTGCTCATCAGAAACGTAAAATAATTATTAGTTTATCTGAGTTCATTAGCAGCGTCCCTTGCTGCAGCTTGGAGTGATGTACACAGATCCATATGGAAGATGTGCACTTTGCTTCATGTGACTCATATAGTCAAGTTTTAAGGGAGTCAAAAATCTCATTCTAAAGTTCCACCTGAAAGGCTTTATGTGCACAGAACCCACTTACTGCCCCACTCTGACTCTCGCTGTCATCATAGAAATGCTAGCCCAAATACTTCTTTTATGTCTAAAAATAAAGTTAGGTACTTACAAGGGGGACTGAGATTTCTTCTGACATTGGAGATTTTAGGACGTGTTTTTTCTTTTCGGGAATGAGAGGCTTCACAAAGATAACATAAGGCTTAAACTCAGGAGTCCTCAAGTGCTTTACTGCCTGTGAACAGATGGTTTTTGTTACATCATTTTTAATTTTTGTTTTTTAGTTATAGGTCAATGATCTACTCAAGCTGGGTTCAACAGTTCACTAGTACACACTGTGGTGTGAAGTCCTGCGTACTGTACATCTGACCACGGTAACCTTTTGCTCTTCAAAAGAAAGGTTAATGTCAGTGTCCTGGCTAGCTTACAAGAGCACATGAGCTTCCTGGAGCATGGTCTAACTGCACACATGCTGTGCTATACATTGTGATACCAGGAACAAGGACATGGCAAGAGATACTAGTAAAAGTTGGGTTTTTTTAAAAAAAAAGACTTGACAGGCAAGTTATGGTTTGCTTCGCTTAAGAGGCCAAACACTGGAAATTTTAAACCTGGAATTCATCTGAGGCAGCATTAAAAGTCTTTTTCTAGCCTCTTTACAAAATCTGAATCAAAATTTCAAAGATCAGCTCCCAGTATAGAGGGTATACTGGCACTGGTTACAACACTAATAATGCTTCAGCGGCAATAGGAAAGAACTTGAGAGGCTAGGACAGTGATGCACATTTCTCCTACAGCACAGGAAAAATCCCACAGTGAGACCTGATGAAGTGTCAGTCTAGGCTGTATCAACTAGACATCTAGGAACTGTAAACACGGCGCTGCTTTCTGAAGAGCCCTATTCTGCTTAGCTAGTGGTCAGGCCACCTGTTAGAAACACAAGTTCTGAGAGCATCATTGTTCTTTGCAGAGCAAGTAGACACAAATGGTGAACAACATCAGTTACTTAGGCTGGCAGCCTAATAAGAAATACTTGCTGTCTTTAAAATAAGCTGCAGAACTTACTTCAGGTACCACATCCACCAAACAAACCTTCTTTTTGGCCATCACGGACCGGATTGCCTCAAGACTTGTACCATACAGATTTTCTTTGTATTCTCCATGTTCCACAAATCTAAAAAGTCAATACATTTTTAAATACCTTCCACAAAGAATATTTAACTTACAACATTTGATAGCTGTTTCCTGAAGTCACAGTAGTCAAATGATGGTGGGGGGAAGGGTGGAAAAATCAGGGGGAAAGGAAAAGGGTTTCTTTTTCCTGCTTATTTTTTTCTTCTGGTTTCATAGTAGCAATAGTCGTCTTCACATGTCACTAATAGCTAATCAGCACTACTGACAAACAAGGGAAGAAGCTGCATTAATTCAGTTGACTGATGTTTCAAGCCTAATAAAAGAAAGAGGATGTTTTTCACAGAAAATAGAACAAAGCTGGCAATGAAATGGACTCCAATTCTTCCACCTTCTGGGAGACTAGCCAAAAGTCTGTACGTTCAGGAAACAATCTTACAGAAAGTCCTTTATATCCATGGATTCAGTCTACAACACACTTTAGAGTGGACTTACGAATAAAACTCGTTACCAATCATATTAAATGAGAATAAGTAGACCCAATAAATACCTGTTACTTTCACTAAATTCAATTCTGACCAATCATACTACTTACGCCGACTTAAATTCTAACTTATGATCCTCCTACTAGTCCTATGTTGTTTCTAAACGGTTTCTTACTAAATTTCTCTGTTCATGCTAACAGTCCAGACTGAATAAAGAGCTGTTTACTTGGAAAGCTGAACCCTTCTAGTTCAGCTAGTATTTTTACACCTGATTTTCGTATTCATATGATGTAAGATTTACTACCAGTATTTTTCAAATAGTCAATTATGCCAGTATTTTAAAATTAACTCACTTGTTTTGCTGCACATCTGTCTCAAATGATTGCTTAGAGACAAAATTGTATTCTACTCCCTCTTTCTCATGACTTTTCTTTGACCTGGTAGTATCTAGAAGAGAAGGGAAGCAAGACACAGGAGACAGATCAGTCTTTGCAAACAACTGTATTTTCTCCGGTTAGTTCCTGTCACGTCTTCGTGACCTCAGACAAGGTAGTTACACACTGACAAATTCAAATTAATATGAACTACAAATCAAACATTGTAATTTTGTTTTAAACTCAATCTCAAAATTTGTAAGACCAAAACCAAAGTTGTTTTGCTCCCAAGCGTGCTGTAACTAACACAAAAATTAGGGGGCATGCTTCTAACACCTAGTAGAAGCAGTGGAGTACATCCTATGGAAAATGGTATCTCTTAACTGTTTGGAATATCATGTCAATATTTCTTAATTAGAAAATAAATAGTTTCAATACATAAATAATATTTTATCAATAAATAATATCAATAAATAAATATTTTATCAATATTTTTATTAGAAAATAAAAATAGGAAATATATAAAGTCCTATTATGTTGCCTCTGTTTAAGAATAAGAATATCCCTGGCTGTTTTCCCACACTACTGTGAAACTTATGTTGTGAAACTTATTGTTTGAACAGCGTAGATATACTGATCAACAATTTAAATCTTGTAAGAATTTTGACTTGGTTTATTGCTGTCTTTTTTTTTTTTACAAAAACTTTAGTTGGCGTGTTATTCTGAAGAAAAATCATCCTCTCTTAAACACACATAATGTTTTGGTTGAATCTTAAGATACTAGTTTTTCCACACTAGTTCTTTTTGCAATTTACAATTTTGTTTTTTCTTCCTGTATTCAGTTCTCTTTTTTTTAATGGACACTGAGAAAATGTAATCTGTTCACTCAGGTAAACACATTTAAAAAAAAAAAAAATCAACTGAGCTGACAGAATTCCAAAGTGCCTATGTGCCAAGTTATATAGTGATCTATTCAGCTATTAAGGGCAAACACAGTATATTACAATGAGAAAAATAATTTGAAGTACTTCTGAAGCATGCATGTAATCAGTACTCAAAACACAAATTACCATTCATCAATGCAGCTAACACTACACTACTGTATTATGCATTTGAGGGTGGTGAGGTACTGGAACAGGTTGCCCAGAGAAGTTGTGGATGCCCCATCCCTGGAAGTGTTCAAGGCCAGGTTGGATGAGGCTTTGGGCAACCTGGTGTAGTGGAGGATTTCCCTGCCCATGGCAGGGGGGGTTGGAACTAGATGATCTTTGAGGTCCCTTCCAACCCTAACCATTCTATGATTCTATGATTTCTGGAATAAAGTGGTGACGCACAGAAGTCAGTAAATTTTACTCACGTGGAACTGCAACACCATACTCCTGTGGGTTCTCTGACACGACCTTCTGCTTGAGCTCACTTAATTTGGCCCCCAAACAACCTAGTAAAACAAAACTGACTGACAGATTTCTGTGTGGAATGAAGTACTACTGCAAAGAGAATAAATAATACCAATTTCACACAAATAATATGATACAGGAGTGTGCTTGAAGAAACATTTACACGAGAGACCTCATGACCTGCCACATTCTGCTTTAAGAACATCATCGGGAACAAACTGAATCCTTGAATAGCTGTTGGACAAATATCTGTCAAGCACTAAGTCAGAAAATCTGTAATCTTAGGAGTTAGCTTTATGAAATACCCTTGATTTCTAAGACATCCTGGGAAACTGGCTTAACACAAAGCTGTTAAGCATACTGAATTAAAATTGCGTGCAAAATTTTGTTAGATAATTTTAACATCGACCTTTTCATCAATTGTTCTGACAGCATAAGTATGCACATGTTTGAGTGAGAACAGATGGAAAGTAACTCAGATGAGAAATGGCGCTAAATTGTTATTTTTAGAAGGATTTGGTGAGTTTGGTTGTTTATTGGGTTTGGTTGGGTTTTTTTGTTGGTTTTGTTTTGGTTTGGTTTTTTAATGTCATTTAAAACAAGAGAACAACTTCTGACCAGAAAAACCTTTTAAAAAAACAAAAACCAAAACAAGCCAAACCACCAGAACCACAAATCCCAAAACCAAACACCTAAAGAAAGCCTCCTGGAGTGCAGGCGGTAAGAGAAAAGGGAGATACACAACTGGTTCAAAATTTTTCATGTATCTTACCAATCAAAACCACCAGCCTCTGCTGTTCACCAGGCTGCTGCTGATATTTTGTGACTTCTTCGTATGTTAGGAACTCTGCTGCGTCTGCCTGCTCTGCTTGCTTTCCATCATTCAGATTGTTCTTCTCTTTACGACTTAACCTAAAGCTCCTGCGTAAGCCAGCTGCAGAGAAAAACAAAAGATATATTAAACCATGTCTCCACTTACATAAATATTCAAGCTTGTTCAGCAAGAAGCTACTATGTCTTTGAATACGAGTTACTCTCACATGTTTTTTGAATAATCAGATCAGTGCACATATGCTAATGTTATAAAGGAAAAATTTGCCTATCGTGTAGAAAACCAAGTGCCCAATCTATAATAAACCCCCCCTCGTATCACCTTGATTTGCCAAGCGTTGGCTACGCCAAAGTCCAATTATGGCTCTGCATAATATGCAGAGATAATCTAGTTCATCAATGTATGGGAAAATAGCTCTAATGTAAATAAGCTAGGTTTTCCTTTTTAATGTGAGAGTGGTTTTTTGCGTTTTGTGGTGGTGGTTTTTTTGTTTTGTTTTGTTTTGTTTGTGGGTTGTTTGCTTTTTTTTTATTTGGCGGGGTGGGGGTGGTGTTACAGAAGAGTAAAGGGATTTTGGTTTCTCACCTATGTACTGTCCGTTGAAATATCCTTCACAGTCACAGTCTTCTGTAAATTAAAAAGCAGGAGGCGGGGAGGGAGGGTAAGGGCACAGGGGAGAGGAGAGAGGGGAGGAGGGAGATATCTTAAACAGTGCCTGTGATATGAGTCTGGCTCATTGGTGAGGGAAGAAGTTTTATATCCTGCATTATATGCACATGCTTTCCTAACACAAATATTAACGATAAAAAAAATTATTTGTCTTGGCTAGCAGTTTGTATTTTGAAAAAATCCTTGATGTTGATATTCTGCAAGAGAATTTTACATCTTGGTATTTACGGTCCCCAGAATTTCATTATTATTATTCCCCTTCAGCATTCATTACATTTGATCAGTGCTGCTGCTAAAAATATTCAGACCTAAGTAAAAAAGAAGACTCTGCAAACAGAGCTTTTTTTTTTTTTTAATGTATGACTTTATAAATGGGTAGGATTGTGTAAGAATACAGGCTCTTCTGACATTTCAGTATCATCTGGGCTTGAAAAAAGGGAATCAGAGATGACAGGCATAAGCTCTAAACACCTTCATTTTGACTAAATTAAGTTACCATTGCTTAGTAATTCATGCTTTAGTCATATGCATGTATGTAAAATAACACGCAAATCTATGTTAAAAAAAGCCAACCTACCTCTTCTCAAACTACGACCACCCCCAAGGCCCCTAAATGTATGCAAAGTAAACCCATGATATTGAGCTGCAAAACACGAAACTGCAATCCTAAGATAAATACTGAGTTCTCATACTTCCTGAAAGAAGGCTACCTGGCTTGTTAAAACTTAGGCACCTGTACCCTGCAATATCCACAGAACTCTACTCATTTTAAGAAGGAGGTGTATGGTTCCAGGACAAGCCCAACCATAGGCAAAAATACATGCAGCTTAAACCTTTAACCAAATATGCCAATCCAGAGAAGGAGCTTTGTTCATTAAAAAATGAATAGTTGCATACATATGTGTAATCAAGCAATGCCATTGTAAACTCATAAAACATTATGCCTACATTAACAGAAGACACTACTAGCAATATACGCCTATCCATAGCTAAGATCAGAGTTATTTTCTGTTGTTGAAGGTAGAGTCTAGTCTCACACTTGTGCTTCGATAGGGTACACCTATTGATATTTGATATTTGGAAAGGCATGTAGTACAGTGACATATAAACTGCAGGAGCCCAACACAGTTGCTCATCATGAAAGTAACGCAGAAAACAGTCCAAATGAACAGTGAAGAAAAATCAGTTTAGATCAGTACAGGTGCTCTAAAAGGTTAAATCCCAATATTTCTTTATTTTTTTTTAAAATACCACATACAAAGATTGCATTTAACTTGCAACTCTATCAACTTCACTCAGAAACCTACAGAACGTGTAAATGTATATCAGAAGGCACAAATCTTTTATCTCGAATTGGGAGTAAATTTAGAAGTTATAATTACCTAAGTCATCAATCCAAATTAAATTAGTTTAAATAATAACTCAGGAAGAAACTGCTACGGGAACAAGCTGTATCTACTATTCCATTTGCTGGGGAGCTTAGTAAGTATTTTAGAAAATGCATTGGTTGTTTATACTCAGACAGAAAACGGGTTAGGAGAGTACCTACCTTTATCAGAAGGTTGATCATCTGTAGTTAGCATGAAAGGCAGAGTAGGCATGATATTAAAAGACTGGCAAATGATTGAGTAAAATTAGAGGGAATGGAAAGGAAGGTCCTTCTAGTCTGATTTGCTTAACAGGCTTTTCTATCTTAAAAATATGGACTAATGTACCCTTATCAACTGATGAGAGACTTTTTTGCTAAAATTTGTATTGTAACCAGTTATCAATTTCATTGTCTCAAGAACGTCTGACAAAAAGCCCAAGTAGCAATCCTCATTACATGCCTCCTAACATCGAATGTAACGGAAACTATTTTGGAAAAGCTTAATTTAAATCAGTAATGTTATTTTATAATTTGGTCGAGCATCTTCCCTCCACTTTGTAGCGTAAGAATACCTGTATCTCTTCAGATGTGCCATGCACCACGGGTCTGAAGTTCACTTATATCGCTGAAGACAGACAATTTCCAGACTCCTAGTCTACATGAGGGTGGCACTCCTAGCACAATGCCTGGCTTCCCACAGTGACAGGGCTGCCCCAGACATCAATAATAGCAGTGCTGAAGCACCCAAGAGCAACAGGAACATTATATACTGGGACAATACAGTATGTTTTCTGCCTTTCATCGCTGACTAGCAATTGCATCACGAGTAGCAGTTTTTGTGTAATTCACTAACAGAGGTTTCAGAGCTGTAAACAAGAATCACTTTAAAGTCTGCTTAAGACCAGCTCTGTAATGGTAAGCCTGAAATGCAGATGGTATTGCCAGCTCCAGTGGTTTTTATCCTCCTTATGGCTACAGTTTATTTTCATACAAGCTTAGAGTAATTTCATGCACTTGTGTAGGAATTTCAAGAAGTGTGCATTGGGTTACGTTTGCAGCTTTCAAATTTCAAACTGTAGAAAAAACGTGAGCACTAGCAAATTTTAAAGCATCTAGACTGCGTAAGGCCGCATGTTCTTGAAAGCAGGAAGAGAGGGGCAGCAATGTTTTTTGACAACAATAGGCACTAGCAACACTGGATAAAGCTCAAACCCAAATCCTCTTATGTGGCAGCTTGTATCCAAGCAAATCAATCAATGCGAGATTACACAAAGCGTACTCACACATTTAATTACTGAAATAACAGAAAAATACTGAGAAGTTGGTGTCAACTAAGACAGCACTGAAGGAATAGAACAGACTTACATAATGGTTTCTTCACAGTTCTGGGATTCTGCAGAGCGCCTATTGTTCTTCTGTAAGTCAATCGTCTAAGTAGAAAATGATTCTATTTTAGCCATGTAAGCTCAGAATTAGAAAGAATTTATAGCATGTTATACATATAGCATTGAAAATAAAAAATGAAGTAGTGCTTTTCCTTGAAAAATATAAAACATCTCTGATTCAACATTTTAAAAGATTTTTTCTTTAAAACTATGATGAACCGAGACTGCCACTGATAAGTGGCCGATAGAGAAGATTCTATAACCTTTTAGGCTTTCATACATCAGAGCACAGAAATCAATAGCACGTTACTTTTATTAATGTAATTTTCTTTCTACTTCCTTTTCCCCACCCAATCTTTTTTGAAAGATTACAAAAACAACAACTATTCTATTCTATTTCTGCCGAGAATCCAACTTCCATTTGCCATTTTCACAAAGGACAGGCAAAACTTCTGTCTGCCACAATCCTAAAACTACTAACTTCAAAGAGAACTCAAAAGTAGATAACCTTTGTCCAAAATGATCACTGCACCTATACACACTCAGAAATTATCCATTGCCTTCCCAATCAGTTTGGAGTTTTCTGTTATTAACTAATAAACAAACCAAGTTACCCAGCTTGTAAGAAAATGTTAGAAGAGTATCACGTAAAAATTCCTGAAGTGTTTTTTATGAAAATTATGAACCAGAGCTAAACTCCTAATCTCCCAGTCTTGAATTTGCTCAAAAATCCCAACTCTTTCCACCCCAAAAATGCAACATCAAAAAAAACTCCAACAACCCAGCACAAAAATCCAATCCCAAAGAACCTCCTCACTGTTGGCAAAGGAAACCACATTTTCTTCCTTAGTGGTTTTCTGCAACAGATCAACATTCATAACAGTCTAAAGAAGATGCTCAGGCATTTACATAGTCACTCTGGGGAAACAGACACTAAAGCAATTTCTATATTCTTGCATACACTGAAATGTAGTTTACAACATCTGAAAAAAAAAAAGCAAAAAAAAAAAGCACTGCAGCGTAGCTGTATCTTTTGACATATATGTGTGCACAGGAAGAGGGTTACAGCTGTTCAGGCAGAATTTGCCTAGTATTTCAAAGGAGCATTCTTAGAGTGGAGCGAAATCCTCTATTTGAAACCTTATGCAAATCTTGGGAGGCCAGCAATATAATCAGACCTGTTTAATTCTTAGATGCCTCACCTTTGTAACACCTACAATCTAAAGAAGACACATCCAGTAATATGGAGTAAGAATCACACAATGAGACCAATGACCTAAATCAGATTCCTTCTTAAATACAAGACTTCTGTACTGTAAATACAAGACTTGAAGAACATTTTTGCTTTAGAAGATACACAGATCTTGCTGTAAGCACCGAGAAACTTCAAGCTCTAGAAGGCATCTGGGTCCAAACTAAACACTCACTTAAGAGCCAGAAGATCAGATACATTTTTTTTTACTACTACTACATGTATAAATTCAAAATTGTTACAATAAATAAGCATTTCCTCTTATACTATGGAAGTACAAGTCTGTGAAATACAGTGTCTCCATAAGCAAAGAGGGTCAAGGGACTGATATTCCACATTTCATTTCATACATGTTTGTTTAGCAAGTGCTTCTGTCCTCATACTACAAAGCATTAAGTCAACGGCAAACTAGCCAAGGAAAGCGAGGAAGTTTATTACATAATTAGAGGAGATGGAGCTTTTTAGCATTTTCCGCTAAGCATCTGATATTCACCCTGGCATGATCCTGCCCTTCATCTCCTGTGAAAAAAAGCCGCATAAAATCAGTGTGACACTATATATGTGAAAAAAGTTCTATCATCTTCATTGACAAACCTTTCTTGGAACTGTTTTGAGGGGATCAGGCCTGCTCTGAGGTTGGTATCTCCAACACGCTTTGCTTGCCACCACGTGGGATCGTCTTGGCTTACAACTTCAAGGACATGTCGTCTCTTAAATGGCAGCCCAGCCTCCTGACAAGGAATGGCTCTGTCTTCTTTGGGATTATAACAGAAAAGCGCCCTCATAAACACCTTTAAAAGAAAGTAACACATCCTTTCTTCTTGTCCTATTTGGAATTTCAAACTACCTTTAAAAGGTTTCCCCAATGCTTATGCTGCTAACTATATATACTCTTCATCTCTCCTTTATGGTACTCAAAACCTAGTGAGCCATATCTGTATGTTTACTTAATTGAACTAACTTTCAAGCCCGTACGCAGTCATAATGTATTGGCATTACAGAACATGAGCCTCAAAAATCCACGTACACAGTTCACAGCCTACGTAAGTAAAAAATGCAACAAACAAAGAAAAAAAAATAAGGAGAGGGAGAAAAAAATAAAAGGGATTTACGGCCAAGTCATCCAATTATAAAGACTGTCCTTAAAACATTCTTTTAATGCATCAAAATCTAATATTCAACTTTGGATTTGTATCTTACCACTATTTAACACATCACACTAGAACTACTTATAAAAGTGATTTGTGGGGCTTCAAGGAAAAATCTGGCAACTGAGAACAGGGAAGCAGAAACAGAGATTGACAGGGGAACCCTGTAAGGGACCAGTCAAACTTTAAGTCACTGCTGATCAAGGAGGGCAAACAAAACACTCAGAGAGGCATGCTGATTTTTGCAGTGGGCTAATGGGGTCAAATGAATGCAGCTCTGTTGGCAAGTAAGTCTGTTTTGACTCAAGAGAATGGCACAATGCCCAGAGATAACGGACGAGTAGCAGCTGTCATGGTAAGAGGAGACTGGCAGGAACACCAATTTTAATTAAGTGAACAAAAAGAAGAGGCTAGATTTCAGAAATACTATGAAAGAACATGTGCAAAGATGATGGAGAGAAGTCATCTAAGTAATTCTAATGAATAAAAGGACATTGCATTTTACAACAAGAGACTGCTCTACTGTATTTTCAGTTCAACTATGGGTCTGTGACACTCCTAACTGAAACAGCAGGAATCTTGCACTTCCAGAGATGCCAGCATTGTGCAAATATGAAAACACGTGCTTCAGTACTTCACTAAGTTGCCTACCTTGCTGTCTTTTAGACGATCTTCTTCTTTGATGGCTGGAATTACTTTTAATGTTATTGATCCCTGAGACTGAGCCTGAGAAAGAGAGAAATGTTTTTCACTTCGAAAGTGGGACAAGGACACAATGCAGACTATTCAAGTTCCAGTTTCAGAGCTACCGTCTGTCTCTTCTCAGAACTTTAATAGGCAAGCTAATACACTATTTAACTTCATTACAGAGACTATCATGATATTCCTCAAATCCTCTACAACAGTGTCTTCCCCATGGAGACATCCACAGTAACTACTTGCTAGAACATATTAAGACCTGCATTAAAATTCCTTCATTTGCTTTTAGCAACTGTATTAATTTCTTACAATTACAATTAATTACAGTTCACAGGGCATTAAATACTTCTGTGGATTTTGGCATGATGCTAACTCAAGTTCTTGCAGACTAACCATTTTAAAGTGCTCCTTTGAAAAATATTGCTGTATTTTCCCATGTAGTGGCTAACTGGTTAGGGTGAAATGTAAACATCTACAAAGTAAACATCTACTTTCACTCTAAAAATCTTTGCTAATATATTTCAATTATTAGTTATAGTAAATTAAAAAGCACTTCTAGGTGCTTTGGAAATACAGCTTCCTAACATGCTGTATTAGGAATAAACTGCTTATCTTCTAGGACTGCACTTTTAATTTGCAATTTGTTTGTCATAAACAAAGCGTGAAAGGGAAGTTCTTGACAGAGCAACATGTAACTTTCTATTTGTATCTTACTTGGTACCGATTCAGTTTGCAGAATTTTCTGAATTCAAAAGGAGAAGACTAATCCACTGGAGGAAGAAATAATCTTAATGCAAAGACAAGCAGAGATTGCATCTTTTAGCTCCATACATATTTTAAACTCATGGTTAAATTTCATCATCTTTTGTAATTACTACATCACTCAACAGAGAAGATCTTGAAGTGAAAAATCAGTGCAGACCAAAATCTGACTTATTTCTTCTGGTCGTTTGTGAAGCACAGCAATACCGTTGACTTCTCTTAGTTCATCCCCAACATGGACAAGACCTGAAAAGATAGTAAGTAAATTAAAATAAGTCTACAGTCCGGAAAGCACCACTCCTCTGATGTCTGACCTAAGTTAATAGCATGTACCTCCTCTCCTCGTTCCCCAGCTTAATGGATTTCCTGCTAGAGCCAAGTTGGCAACGTGCTCTGAAGTCTCCTGCCCTTATTCCATATGGCATTTTTTTTCATGCAGCACAGTCTTATAGGAGACCAGCATGGAGATAGAGAACATGAGGCAAGAGACTCAGGAAAATCACTGCCTCTATATTTGGATCAGCACTAAGAATGCAAAACTGGTATAGTTTCATGAAGATGATCAGCTCTTGCAGCATCAGGAGACACGCTGCTGACTATAAAGGCAGGAATGGCATGGCCAACAACTGACAGATCAAGACTACACAGTCCCAGAAAGGATGCCAGATACTTTTTTTTTTTTAATAAGCCATGAAGAGGCCCTTACAAGTTTTAGGTTTGTTTATCCAGTTCAATAAGAAATGTTGTATTTGTGTTATATAACTACTATAAACTGACATAAAAGAATTTCTCACTAAAGCAAAGAGAAAACAACATATGATACACTGAATAAACCAAGATACCAGATTAAAGGTAAAATACATTTTTTTTTCTTTTCTTTCTTCTAAACCTTAGACCTACTTCTTCCATCTCTGTTGGCATTTTTTCCTAGCAGCTATTTTAGAGAAAAACATATCTAATTAACTTAATACATTACTGACGAAATACAGAAATGCTAAGTGCACGCTCTAGTCATTTCACATTAATCATATTACACTAATTTAAAAGATGGTAACGATCAAGAAGAAAGTTGTAATTAGCTAAATTTTTTTTCATCACATTATTTTGGGATTTCATTACTTCTATATTAAAAAAGTACATGAGATTTGGAGTCCATAAATCTCAGAGAACTAAATAATCTTATTTAATAAAATCTGGATTATCACCTTCTAGAAAATGCACGGTCAAATACTGCATGAATTAACCCTGTAGATCCTGAAAGCATGCTGAACAACACCCTACGCACAGAAGTCCCTCCTGCCACTAGACACAATTCAGTTGTCAAGTGAGCTTACCATATAGGCTCCCTTTCTAGTCAAGAAGGAAGACAGACAATTCCAGCAGAGACCTATCCCATTTTAAAGCTTGTTGGGATGATTTTGCTCCAGCAACGTTCATCTTCCTCCACTGACTACACAGAGAGCCTACATACTAGCTCAGACTTGACATTTAACAGTTGCCTATTAAGATTTCAATAGGCTGTTATAATTTTTTTTTTACAAAATAGTCTATAAATATATTAAACACCTATATTAAAAGACTGGTTTTGGAATGAATAACCATCAGATTCAGAGATTATTGCTCTAGGTATGTGTACCTAGTACGTGTGTGTGTGCATAATTTTGGAAATTTTATAACAGTTAACAAATGCAATTTTAAATCCCCTTTTCTTCAGAAATTTACCGCTGCGATCAGCTGCACCACCTCTCATGATCCTTGCTACAATCACAGCTCCTGTACGCTCATCTCTTCTGATGGTAGCTCCCTGAAATAAAACATACCCCCCACCCCAAAATCATCATAAATTTGCTTAGAATACAGTGAGCAGTGAAACAACATGTAAGCTAACGCGTCTTTTAAACTGGAATGAATTTGTTCTACAAATTTTGTTTTCCTCTTTGACAAATTTTACCATCATTCAACTTTTGCCTGTGCCCATGTCATGCAATTGTGAGAAGGTGTGCACACCTTCCTTTTCTGCCAACTTTGCCAAGTGCTTACACTACGTACGTTATTGTGGTGATCAAAGTCGCTCAAGTGCACAAAACAATTTCGTACAAGCTTTCTGTGTGTCTTCTGAATTTTTATACAATACAGCCAGCATGTCTCCATATAAAAGCAAGGAAAGCCAAGTAATTACATCCTTTTTTCCTCTTCTCCTATCCTACCTCTGCTGGCAATATAAAGCTTTAATCAGGAATTAAGTCACTGCTCTCTTCTACTACCTACAGTCATATACAAAAAGCACTTTAGCAGATTTCTTCCCTGACGCAATTTTTTTTTCTTAGGAAATCAATTCTTCCTTTTCCATTTTCCGTTTGTATAATATTAGTACCTTGTCAATATGTTTACATGCAGCTATCAAACATACTCTTACCATACATCACTGACTTTCATGCAAATCAAGGTATTAATTAATTGAATGTTAGCTACAATATGAAAAGAATTACTATGTATAATAAGCATAATTGCTTCAACTTGTGCAGTTTCCTCAGAGATCCTGTTCCCTGCATTAACCGGCATTATAAACCCATGCCTATAAAGCACCTCTCACAAAATTGTGAAGGTGTATTTACCAGAGTTTGCTTTTTATGTTATTTTACTAGTTTCAGAACACTCCTAGTTTTTCCAGACTATTTGATGACATCTTCAAGTATCTCCTCCATACTCACAAGAACACTTTTGCACTAGAGAGTTTTATGACTAGAGATGAGTTATCTTATATGTACCAAGGGTTCTTTATTTTTCACTAGTCGAACAATTTTCACTGATTCCTCATCAAAATCATCATCAAAGTTATCAGGTAGAGGTGGAAGGACTGGGTCAAAGTTCTTCTGTGCTACAGTGTCATGTACTACAAGCATTGCCTGCATGAAGGAGATAAGAAACAGTAGTGTAATGGGGTAATATTACAGTTTCCAGTTCTCGTGTTTCCAGCATTACAGCAAACTTAAACCTCCTCCTTCCCACCCTCACCATAAATCCCACCAAAAAGATTTAGCAATTATCTTCTTACCCATCATGTTAAACTATATATTGGTATATATAGATATGTAACATAAATCTAGGCAGTAACAAAGCTCAGCCTAAATAAACTTACAGAATGGAGGGAGACTATCCCACCTGGAGTACTGTGTTCAGCTCTGGGGCCCTCAACATAAAGAGGACATGGACCTGTTGGAATGAGTCCAAAGGAGTGCCACAAAGATGATCCGAGGGCTGGAGCACCTCTCCTATGAAGACAGGCTGAGAGAGTTGGGGCTGTTCAGCCTGGAGAAGGCTCCGGGGAGACCTTCCGGCAGCCTTCCAGTACCTAAAGGGGCTATAAAAAAGCTGGAGAGGGGCTTTGGACAAGGGTGTGTAGTGACAGAACAAAGGGCAATGGATTTAAACTGAAAGGGGGTAGATTTAGATTAGATCTATGGAAGAAGTTCTTCACTATGAGGATGGTGAAGCACTGGAATAGGTTGCCCAGAGAAGTTGTTGGTGCCTCATCCCTGGAGGTGTTCAAGGCCAGGCTGGATGAGGCTTTGAGCAAGATGAACTAGGGGAAGGTGTCCCTGCCCATGGCAGGGGTGTTGGAACTAGACAATCTTAAAGGTCTCTTCCAACCCAAACCATTCTATGATTCTATGACAATGGAAAGCAGAAAATTGAGAAATTATATCCTTTTCTTTGCTTTTCTGCTCCCTTAGAAAATATTAAGGAGGGGAGAGAAGACAGCATGGTGCATTATGCATGAAAAGCCTACGCTGTGTCTTCTCAACCTCCTTCGCATCCTAAAGCCTGTTCAGGAAATCACAGTGGAACAGAACTACAGTTTGTAGGAAGTTTTTCCTTTCTCTAGGGACTCTGCAATGTAACTTTTCCATTACAAAATGTTATATTGGAATTCTGCAAAGGAATTTCATTAAGGTCTTTGGTGTGTTTTTTACCCTGAGATGTGGTGTTGACAACAGCTGAAGTAGCTCTTTTTCTTCATTATTCACTTGTGCAGTCTGCAATTCTTCTATTACCTTTAAAATAAAAATTAACAACCTCAAAATAAAAGGAGTCCACAAAACAAGATCATATATTTGCAAATGAGCATTTTTGGTGAGTGTTTGCTAATGTCTATCATTCTTCAAAGTAGTGTGCACAGATCAAAACCAATCCAATTCAATAATGCGTGAATCCTAAAAGAAACGAAAGCTTCTTCATCTATTTTATTTTTATTAGATAGCGCAGGAAGACATCATTGGAAATCAGGATCCTAGCCCATAAACATACATTTGAGTGCTTCTGTCAATATAATTTCAGGAACGAGTTCTGAAATCTTAAATTCCATATGGAATCCATAAGCGATACATGAAACAACACTCTTGTGCTTGTGCTAGGATAAAGTAGGTTAATCCTCTCTGTACCCAGGTAGCGTTACCTGTGTGGAACATGCAACTGAAGTTCCCTTGTTCCCCTGCTAAGCCTTGATACTGAAGTATGCCTTGGAGTCTCAGGCCTTCCAAACAAAAGATTAGAGAAATAATGGAAGCACTTTTGCACTAGGCTGGTTGGATGGGAGGAGAGAGAAGCAGAGGGAAGACAAAGGGAGAAGGGGTTGAGATAAGGGACATTTCCTTCCCCCATAAGGCATTCTAGATAGGGAAGTCATATAGTCCTGTATAAAACTTCTCTGCTGTTTAGAAGACGGTAATTTTGCATGACTTGCCAGGCATCAGCGCCAAAACTTTTATGGAGGCAGTTGGTTATTTGTGGTAAAAGGGGAGAGGGCGTATGCTGCAGATGATGATGGGGTAGTGAGGTCTCCTGGCTTTGCAAAGAGCGGAATTCTAGCTCCCAAACCCTCCACAGCCCTTTGCTGCATTTTGGAAGGAAACAAATTTGCAAGCCACTTGTAAAGAGCTGACAAAGGCAGTAAAAATTTCACTTTTCAGGCATGTGGCACGTTACAAACAAATCCAAGATACAACTTTGCTCTGTGAACAGACTGTGGGATGAAATGATTGAGAACAGCCCTGTGGAGAAGGACTTGGGATACTGGTGGATGAAAATCAGATACGTGACGGCAATGTGTGCTTGCAGCCCAGAAAACCAATTGTATCCAGACTGCATAAAGAGAAGCATGGCCAGCAGGTCGACAGAGGTGATTCTCCTCCTCTACTCCGTCCTCATGAGACCCACTGCCCCAAAATTGGAGTACTGCATCCAGATCCAAGGTCCCCAGTACAAGATAGACATGGAACTGTTAGAGTGCGTGCAGAGGAGCACGAAAACAATCCGAGAACTGGAACACCAAGGCCTGTAGTGACAGGACAAGGGGCAATAGTTTTAAACTGAAAGAGGGCTGATTTAGACTGGATATAAGGAAGATTTTTTTTTTTTTTACAATGAGGGTGGTGAGATGCTGGAACAAGTTGCTTACAGAAGTTGTGGATGCCTCACCACTGGAAATGTTCACAGGTTGGACAGGACTTTGAGCAACTCGATCTAGTGGAAGGTGTCCCACCCATGGCAGGAGGGTTGGAACTAAATGATCTTGAAGGTCCCTTCCAACCCAAATCATTCTAGGATTCTATGATTCTATGACAATGAGATAAGAATTTTTACTCACATCTTCAACTAATCCTGCGGCACTATGTAAAACAGGAGTTGGACTTTGTCTTTCATAATGACGGAGTTTTTCATGAATCTGAAAAATATCATTCAGGTGTATTACTAGATAGAGATACAAAACTTCCTAAATATACCTACACTGGAATATTTTAATATTTAAGGAATATATATTTTTTTTCTGAGATAAGTGTCAGAAAAATAACCTCTCTTGGGGGTTACTTTTGTTTTGTTTAGGAGTCTTTTTAGTTTTCTCTTGCTTATGCTAGGTTCACAGCCAGCCAGAAAAATCTGTGAAGACTTCAGCAGCATAAGGGAAAAAATGAAGCCGTGTCACCCTGCTTTTTAGCTACGGGACACTGTATCTGCATTTTGCAATCAAGGCTGAAATGGTTTGCTGAACATGGTAATTATCAATGAATGTTCTTAACGGTTGGGCTTAAACAAATACACGCTTTGGTCAGTATAGAATTCTACTGGGGGCGGGGCGGTGTTAGCAAAGTAAACAGTTGATAAATCAAGGGAACAGAGACTATGCAATCTGTAAGGAAAATGTATGTTCATAAACGAACTTTTACCTTCATCAGGTAGCTGAGACTCTTCTCACTGAAGACATCCCGAAGGAATCCCATTTCCTCTTTATGATTTGAATCAGGTCTTAGCTGAGATGTCAAAAGGGCCAAAGTTTCATGCAATCCTAAATTTAAATTCAAGACAGAAAAAAAGCTTTGTAGATATAGTATGTCTCACAGGACCTTCTATTGCAGACTTAAAACCAACTACATTTACTTGGGTACCATCTTAGTGATCATTAAGTTTGCAGAGATTTGTGCTTATCTTCCAATCATTTTGTAACACTCCGTTCTTAAGCAGCAAACACATCTTAAGATAATACATATCATATTAAGGCAAAAGCTACCAAAGCAATATATATTTTTAAAGACATTACTTTTGAAGTCTCCCCCTTCATGTTAATTACCCTTTGTTTCTAGAACAGCTAGCCCTCTAACAAACTTTGAGTTGTTAGAGAGCCACAGGAGACTCACAAAATGACTGAACTATTTCCTTTGTTGCACCAGCTCTACATCCCATATAACTTTGCTTAGAAGTGTTATCACGTCCTTTTCTACCTCTGAGGCATCAGTTAGAAGTCAGGTCTGACCAGGGGAGGAAAGGACTAGTGTAGATTTCCACTGCAGTAGAAGCAAAACTTGTGGCTAATTTTCTAAAAAGTGCTTAAATCATCAATATTCCAATTTTGCAGTGCACACGGCCAGAAAAACGTTAGTTTTTTCTTGGTAGACCATGACTGGGAAAACAAACAAAAAACCCCAACAAAAACCCAACCCAAACCAAAAGGCAGGGAGGGCTAAAATCTGTTCCTTTGGCTATTCTCTCCCTGAACTTTAGAGTACATTTGGATCCAGGAAACTCAAACTCACTTCTGCTTTGAAACTCAGTATCATTAGAGTAATATGACTTCACCCTGGCTAGCATACTGCAGAAGCTGGTTAGCAAGCCTTGAATGGAATCACTATTTTTCAAGTCACAAGGAAGAACATTAACAAAGCTTATAAACACCTATTCAGAAAATATTAAGAAGTGGCACAGCAAGCAGCAGAGGTATAAGGGTTGATCTTTAATAACCATGTGTAGAAGCCAGTGTTATACTGAGAGGTTCAAGTTTGTCCACAGGAGCCTGTCTACCAGCATATATTCAGAGGCTCTAGGGTTCCTATGAAACTAGGGGTGTTTCCTGATATCTGACTAACTTTATTTATTTCCACCTTTTTTACTCCACCTTCCTTGTCTTCTTTTAGGTAATTGCTTAGAAATCTAGTTGAACTATCTTAATTCTATTTTATTTAACTCCAATTTGAATTCATTTCCGGCGTGAAACACATACACTAAGATTTCAGTCACTGGTCTGTTGAAAGCATGCAGCTTAGTTACCTGAGTCTTCCGAAAGCACTGGCATGGCTTTGTTCTTAATCTTAGAGACAATGTTCAGCTTAAATCCACACGACTGTTTCTTCTTTCTGGACTGCGATTCAGAGGCAGTTCTGAAATAAGCAAAGATAATACCTAAGCTCAAGCATGCAAGAAAAACGGCAATCATGTAGAAGCAGTAAATTCCTAGCTACATCTTTCTCTCAAATGTTTAGTCTAACCTGAGTCAGGAAGAGTCCTGCTGTTATTCTGCTATGCAAGTAACAACACAAAAACTATTATGTTATATAATAACCATATGGTATCTTAGATAATACTGATGCTGAAGACAGCAGATGCGTCCCTATTCTATTCTCAAGATAGACAGTTTTAGAAGGCCTAAGTAGCGGTCTGAAAAGACAGAAAAGAAAAAAGCATGCTGCAGAATGGATGTTTAAAACCACCAATAAACAGCATGTGCACAGAAACAGAGAGAGCATGCAGGAAGATGCCAAGATGTTCTGGGGCTTCCTAAAAGCACACCTCAAAGGAAGCTACATCCCCCTGGCATTCTGATGCAGACCACACTACAATAACAAGTAATTCATTAAATCTAGTAGGAGTGTCACTCCATCAACCTTGGTCACGGGTTCTAAGGATGCTACAACAAATAAGGCTACTTCTATTGCTCAAAAATTCCATTAGATGCTTTTATTGCTGATTTTTCTTGTCACTGAAAGCAAATGACTCCAGAGCAATTTCATTTCAAACTGCAAAACTGAATCTACACTTATAACGGCCAGTCCAAGATGAAACACTTTGCATGTTCCTGGGCATTTGAAATCTTGTTCATGCTCATAAAATTCATCAGACTAATGCTTGCAGGAAAACAAACAACCATAACAGCATTCAAAAAGGTTCAGAAAGAAACACGGGATACTCAAACTCTTTGCTAAATGCAATAAAGGATGCTCCTGGTGTTTCTATTTGTAGAGAAATCTGATATTTGGATTGCATGACACAAGTTTGATGGTTTTCTGATTCAACTTTATTTTTATTAGCTGCCTGAAAATACCATAGTATTGCATGGCAAATTAGCATATACCAGTTGAGCATTTTCTAGATTCTTGAGTTTCTCTACAACATACTGAAATACTAAGCTCAGTAGTCACCTGTGGTTTGCACCCCATATTTTCTATTGCTATGCTTCATTAGTCCACCTGGGCATCAAAATATAACAGTTCTCTAAGCAAGTTGTTGAAATTTCACTCTAATCCATGGTTTGTATTCAAGCGTGTTACATATTCTACACATTTATTTAATTGACATTCAAAAGCATTTTTATTACCTATTGCTTTGAAGAAATAAACATTTCACACACCCCACCCCTACTTCATGCCAGAAGAAACATATAGGCAATTCATTCAATCACTCTGGTTCCTTCACTATCGTATTTCATTTGACACATATTTAAAGTCTTCTCTCATTATCAAGGAAGGGAACTTGAATTGCGTCCTCTGCCTTTGTAAGAATGCGTGCTTCCCACAGTCAAACTTATTTAGCACCAAAACCCAAGAAAATCCGAGTTATTTCCCAGATTCTTAGCGAAAAAAGCATCTTACGCAGGAATGTGGAAAATATGTTTTAACATCTCAAAAACACGACAGCAAACTCAGGAGCTCCAGCATTAGGCGAGTTAGGCACAACAATCAAAATGGAGGCTTCCCCTAGAGGCATTTCCCACACTCTGTAAAAATCCTGTTAGCCAAGACTGATTAGAATGAACAGTCAGAAGAACGAAAAGCACTGTGTATCTAATAATTTGTCACCAGCACGCTCCACATGAACACTCGGGGCTGTCTTCAAGGTATTAAATTCAGGCCCAGCATGTGTTATTTTGCAAGAAGGGTTCAAAACCATGAATCTGTCCTTTCATCACTGTAGTATGAATAGGCTCAAATATATTTTCTGTTTTTAAAAATATCTACTCTAAACCATAATTCATTTTGCACACCTATCCTTGTCCAGCTGTTCCCAAGACAGAATGAGCCACCCTCCTTGCCTAGGAAAAGGACTGTTCATGTTTGGAAAGGGCTACATAAACTGAACTGATGCTGTACATGGGGTCAAGGAAAGCATAATGTGCTTCGGCATATCTCCGTTAACTTGGAAAATAAGCCTAGTATGGTTCACAGCCTAATACAACATTAAGCTTTTGCAATCCAGATATATCGATCAAAGCAGGAGAAGATCTCATTTTGGAAAGCAGATGCATTTTAACATCTTTCCAGGAGATCATCCCAGTGATTAGGTCAGAAAACGCATCTGCATGCTAGGAAGACCACAGCTTACACCTATGACACAGGATTTCTCCGCACGTTGCTTCTGTGTACAAAAAGCATCCCAATCTGACCGAACTGGTCTTTTGCTGGGTGCTATGTCTACTTCAGCGCCAAAAGAGAGACTGCTCTGATGGCTGAGCGAAGCACGGAGAAACATCGTTCCTTGTTCGGCGCCGCGGGGACAGGCTCTTCATCCGAGTTGGCGCGCGACTCCGCGGCCACACGCTCGGGACCGGGAGCAGCCCGTGGGCCGGCGGCCCGGGCTGAGCCGGGCGCCCCTCAGGCCTTCCGTGTGCGAGGCGGGAACCCGCGGGGCGGAGCACGGCGAGACGGACCCGCTTCCCCGGCACCGCCGGGCACGGCTCTTCCGCCCCGGAAGCGCCACACGCTCCACGGAGCTCGGGCACAGAGCCGGCGGCAAGGCTAGCGCG